TTTTAATTAGGATAATAATTCCACGGCAGACGAGGCTACACCTGCTTATGGCGAAATCTTCGAGCCTGACAAAATTTCCACCGCGTGGAACATGATTGAAGAGATTGAATCGAGGATGAAGTTTTGTTGTCCGCTTTAAGATGACAGAGGCTTTTTTTCAGATAAATAGTTTGTACGAATATTTATGGGATTGACTGTATATATTAAAATTCAAATGTGCCTTTGAATTTTTCTTATAAATTAGTACAATTTTCTGCCCAACCCAATATAAATAAAACAATATCGAAGCTATCCTGACGTGGACTCGAAAGAAAGATGCAAATTCTGAAAAATGAAGAGTGTTAGCAATTGTTCCGAAGACAAATATGTTACTTGAACTCCAACAATAATATTACCAGAACAACGAAGCATTTATCCAAGTTTGTAACGTAAATTCCATCCCATGTAACGTCTATTGACCTGAATTTCTCAAGGAACGTAGAACACTTTACCTCGTCGCCGTAGAACGGAGATACGAAAACAAACGTCTCGGCTACCTGGCTGAGGATAGACATCAACATGATTCACTGGAAAGGAACGATCGCGGTGTTCCAACCTTGTTTATTCATGCTACTTAGTAGCGTATCAAGAAAATATTGTTGCACGCGTTCATTCGTCGGCTAACACGAGGTAGCGTGTCGTTGAATGTCATTTGCATCTTCACGAACGTTGATCGCGTCGCGGAGCGAGAGGCCCGCGATTTCTAACGTTCTGTTAGAACAGAAGCGATCTTTATTATGTTAATTAGAAAAAGTGCGCATCCTTTTTGTCGTCGGCCGACAATAGTCCTATTTTTCATCGCATTCCACCTCTGTTTTGCGGCAGTTACACGTTGTTACGTGGGCGACGAGCACAGAGGCGCCGAGATCACGTTCGAGCACGTTCGCGATAGAAAACTTTCTCCGGAGCGAGGCTTATTTTCGCGCAGCACCATGTGTGACAGAAGCCTGCCCTGCTTAATTCATCGACACGCGTCCACGAGAAATTCCCAGTAGCGCAGAACATAATTTCCAGTGTCCACACTGGCAGTCGCGAGACAGTCTTTGCTATACAATTGACTTTTCAGGGTGCAGCAACTTTCCCTCTGTTTGTTTTGGTCATCAAATTTTCAGTTTAGAATGTTTAGAGAGGAATAATTTATATTCTGTAGCTGAGGCTCTCAGAGGTTCATTGATAGGACGTTTCACTCTCATTCTGAGAAAGAAAACTGCTCTTGATTTCTTTAATTTTGATTGACTATATAATTACTTTCACAAGAGTGTTTCGAGATGTTCAGTCACATTCTTTATGGTCAGTAGGTTTTTTTTTATCGCGTAGTACGACTGATAATGGCACTCCTATCGTAAACACGCGATTTATGGGCGAGAAGACGGATTTCTCTCATATCGTAACCATCGAGGGGCATTCTTTATGGCTTGTAGTACATGGCTTAGAAAGTATGAATAGTTATGATCTTGTTTCATCACCCTGTTGCAACTTCTGAAGAACATCAGTATTTCCAAGAAAAACCAATATCATCCATAAAGAATTAGTGATTAAAATACCTTTTTTTTTAATGACTTTATTTAAGGTCACATCAACTACTTGGTTATTATTAACCACGTCAATGATTAGAATTTAATCATAACTTATTTAACATGCTCGATTTCATTAATATCTGGACTAATTTGAGGAATTTGTTTTTGTTGTTAAGGATTGTAGACATTCTACAATTAAATGTTTTACTGTAAGGAATGATTAAAATACTCGTTGAATGCAAACGATATTATTCTCCTTTAGATGTATCTGAGTTCTGTCTCTCTAACTGTCACTGGTTTAAAACCATATCTCCATAATATTTTCATACTTGCTACGACAAAAGGAACATAAAAGTACGAGACACCACCGTTTATCCCATTCATCGGCGAAAAATAATTGTCTAAATGTCCTACAAAGGGGAACAGTGGAACATAATGGGTTAAGAAACGAAACCGTAATTGCACTTTCCAGGCACATTGTTTCATTTACAGAAGCGAATACGGTTAGGGAAAGTTGGGCCTCATTAAATCGTTTAACGTTCTTCTCAGCCAATTCATTACAATATCCGGAATAGCCTTGCGGAGATCATAGATACACCTTAATAGCTATTACAACAGCAATACGACTGCCTCTTTGTTCATATTCTTCCATTTATGCATATTCTCAACATAGGCGAAGACATTCGATTCTCATCGATGTTCGAGCAAAATCAAAGTGTCGCTAACTCCTGTCGAGGACTTAAAGGGTTGAGTCCGGCCAGCGGCGTGAAAAAATGGGTGTTTTGAATCATTTTTCTTTTACAGTATCGATTTTTTAAAATCCTGACTAGACCTAACCCCTAAAGAATGTAATAAATTCTTGTAATCGCCGAGTAATTGGAAGCGTATCACCTCGTTAAAAGCAGAACGCAAGCCGACGCCCACTTGATACCTTGCATTAATTAACTTTAATTGGTGTTCACGCGTTCCACGCCTGACCCTTCTTTCTCCAACCAGCGAAAATGAGTTTCCTTTTACCGTCGTCGTTTTCGTGTCTCTGGGAGTTGCGACAAACTCTAATTGATGCACTTCGGCATTTCTTTCTTCGTTTAACAGACAGGGGCATTAGCAACGCGCGAAGCAAGATAATTAGAAAGCCGTATCTCTGAGACGTTGCTCGCGCTTTATTATTTAGTGCCGAAGACGCAATCTGGCGTCTCCGTGTTATGCAACGTAGTATTTTCGCACCCATCGGAGTTGAACGTCGTCGTTCGTCCATTAAACCAGGCTTGGAAGAGACTGAATCTGGGCAAATTAGTTGGCAATGACATGATAAACACCTCTCAATTTAAAATGCTTCGAAATCAATTAAAGAATCTGTTACACAACGTTAGTATCGTACACCAATTGAAACGTTAATTAGAAGTTGCAGAGATATTCTGTCCTATCATCGCGAATCGAAGGAGTAGCGTTCGTTAATGACCAGTCTTTCATCGTGTGAAAGGCTTCCTTCTACAATATTTTTACCAGTAGCAAATCCAGTAGCTGGAAGTAATTGCACGTGTGCTTCAATGTTGCGACACAATTTTGCACTTCTGACAGCGCGAATTGCCAATCCTCAGAAAACTCCTGTCATATCAGCTGCTCGTTATGACCTGGGATCTTGGTTCTCGACGCATACTGTAACCACTTTCTCTAGGTGCAAATGGAACGTCGTCGAAATCGTTAGGTGCCGGTCAATTGTGTGCCATGCTCGGGGGAATTCCTCGTGGGGACCTGTTGCTTTGCAACTTTAGTGTTAAAATCAAAGGAGAGTTTATTCAGACACCATCTATGAGTATGGTTATTGTGTTTCTTGATAACACCCATGTATGGGTGACATTACTTCTCACTGGAGAACTAAAAAAGTTAATTCCGAAAGACAAGTGTCCGCAATAAATGTTTGATTATGCAATTTCTAATAATCTTTAACCAAAATTTAATCACAGTAGACATTTTCAAGAGTGTTAATGTGGCTGTCAACGTGTTAACTGTGTGCTACGAGTGGCACGGTGATCTTATGGTAGCCTCGATGGAACCTGTTTTGTTGTAACTAGATGCTTCCTACCTCTTCTGTTACGTTCAAAGTTATTCTTAGTTATTGGAACCTGAAAGGGACTATTTCAAGACTCCAAACAGGAATAATTCTCATTAAAGAGCATGGACTTCGAATCCCTCTTGGAGCAATTCAATTTTCCTGTAATTACGCCAGCCAAAGTCGACACTAGTTCATTTCCAGAGGGCCATAAAACATTGATCGAAGATACATGCGATTTCCCACGTTGGGTTGCGTCAGTCAGAGTTGGTAACAATTTTGCTGGACTCCTTTTCGAAACCAAGGATTTATTCGTCCGTCTAATCCGAATAGAAACGCCGAACAGACCCCGTGAGATCTCAAAATTTCTCAAGAAACAGCGACCTTGCCGATCTGTATCGCGTGTTCCGCAGATCCGAGCATCGTGACCACCACTTATACATCAGAAGCCTTTCACATACTGGCGAAAGACACTAAGGAGGATATCTTCTCCCCATAGCCGTGCGATCCTTCTATATAAATTATACGCCTAAAGGTCACTGGACGTTTCTTCGAGCCAGAACCATCATTCGTACCGCGTTCACGATGTCGCAAACGGATAAGACGGTTTTAATTTCTGGACAACGATGCTTCCACCGCGGCTCCCTCTGATTTATGAAGCTCGTTCAACCGGCGAATGATAATTGCAGACGGTCGATTGCATTAACCGCGCTACGTTTCATCCGAGGCGTTGAATGGAACGTTGTTTGCTGGAAAGATGAATATATGGAACACGCAGGGTGTCGTGGTAAACGCAATTCGATAATACGAAATCTCGATTTTCCGACGATACGGTTTCAAATTAGACGTTCGTTGCGTTTAATGTACGCCAAATATTGTAATGCATGCGGTTCTCGCCTGTGAGACTAATTAGAGATGCGAATCGTGCGAATATTAAAAGCAGAATTAGAATTGTACAATTGCTGTGAGAAATAGAGAGTGTTCTTTCAGTCTGCGATGCAGTACTCGTTCTTTAGAGACGTATGAAGAAAATTTGGAAGCGATTCGGTGGGTTGTGAGAGACTTGTGGGAGATTGTAGTCTTGTAATGTAAGTGGCTAGTCTATGTTGAGTACCTGCTGATCAATGACAGAGCATGGTACGGTGTATTTCACGCGAATGGACCTTTCACGATCACCAGTACATCATAGGATGTGCCACGTGGTCGATACAAGTTATGTAAGATAGTCGTGGGTGAGGCGTGAGATAATCCCACGAAGACACTCTTCGATACATTATAATCGATTACGTGGCATTCCGTGATTTAATTTACTTCGAGATTATCTTGCTTAACGATCGAGCTCGTCAACGCATTTCTGTATTTCTCAATGAAACAGACGTGAGTAAATAAAGATGTTCGATATGAACTTTAGGGTGGGCTTTGAATGGTACACGTCGGTACCAATTACTACTAACAATGTACGACGATCGTAAATTAATTTCTCGAGTAATTTCAGAATAGCCCAATTGATTTCGGCGTATTTTTCAGCGACTTTTGTGGATTGCCACATTAGTGGCAGTGCTCTCCACAGATCATGCGCAAGCATCCAGTGAGAGAAGCAAAAGAGCGATAGATACAAAATCACAATTTGGAGGCTACAACTATGAACCACCGAATCAAATATTCACTCTACCACCGCGGTAAGAATTAGTTGAAATTTTAAATTAAGAAAGTAATAAGTGGTAGAAATATTAGACTGTTTACATACGAACGAAAACTTAAACAAGTTGTCTATAATAATATCTCAACTAACCTCACAATTTTTTTTAGTGCCAGATGACTTAGTTAATTGTAAAGAAAATATCAATATTTTTCTCTTTGCAGACAAACGCCTGTACAAACACCTAGACCACCACCGATACAAACTAGACCGCCTGTAACTCCAGGATATCCCTATTCAACTCCAGGTCATGACATAACATACACAGAAAGGCCGGTAACGTACACCTTGCCCACTCAAGCTCCTCCAACGGGTTATACCTATACAGAACCGACGCGAGCACCACCGCCACATACATTTAGGCCAACGCCTGGACCTCCTGGACCTCCAGGACCTACGACGTCAAGTGGATACGATTACCCAGTTCCAACAAGAACTCTCCCGCCGATAGGACCGCCTACGCGGCCACCATACGGACCTCCTTCTCCTCCACACACACCTAGACCTCCAACACCTCCACCGTACCATCCACCCTCTCCTCC